AAATGGCATAAAATTACATAAAAACTTACTAGGAGTCAACCAATTAATCTTGCTACTCCCCACAACCATCTGCTTAACAATAAAAATAAAGAACAAAATTTAAGAATATCGCAAGAAAGAGGACTTTCTTTATCCAAATTAACTAAGCTATGAGGACTCATGTATGGCTGCGAAGCAAAAAAAGTGCTCTGAAGTAGAACAATTCAAGTTATTATTAATAACTTTTACTCTACGAATTCATGGCGAAGAGAAAATTTCACAATCAAGTTATTTTTCCTCTGATTTCCTTTTCCTTTCCAAGATTTAAAGAAAGTAAGAATGTTCAGAGTTAATTAAACAGTGATGTATGATTTCAGATTGTCCACAGTTAAATAAATTTTTTAAGTGCTTAAACCGGTTTGACATTGACACATCCATATGATCTAACTTAAAATCAAGGACAATGTTTCGATGCTTCAAGATACAAGTATTAATTAGTGCATTTACACTTACCAAACAGATGATAAACAGCAGTAATGTGAACGTGCAAAATGTTCTTACTTAAAAATCAATATAATTAATTGCTGGTTTGCCCCACTGCTGTGAAGTTAGGACTTCTAGCAGCAAAAAGAGTGGACATTGCTACAACTATGATTTAACTTAGAAGACATTAAACAAAGACAATTTTCCAAACCTTTTAGTCTTTTTCCTATGCCAAACCATACGTTTGCTGTGAAGTACGATGACTCGCAGCGGCAGCATGGCTATGGCCCTACCCTACCTGCAGTTGGATATCTAAAGATGTGTTTCTCCACTTATGTGAAAACTGAGAAAAAAGGGTGTCAAAGATTGGAAACTGAGATGAAAATCTAGTTTTGCAGTTGTTAATATGTGATTCATCTATAGTAGCCCACTAGTCTAATTCAATTGGTGTCCATATATCCAGATGCTTTTTCAGATGATCAGTTTCTGAGACACTGACAAAGGGTAGGTAATACTTGGGCAGAGGAGCAAAATTTTACAAAACAAATGGCTAAGTTCCATTGAATAATAATCCTTGGCTTGGACATGGGCTTCACCACTACGTAATGCTGTCAAGAAAAATTCTAGCAAACAAGTAAATCAAATTAAGTCTGTAAGAGAGAATGATATGATCTTAATTTTATCTGAACAAAAAAAAAAAGGACCGGTTAGAAGAGTAGTGAGCTGGTTGCAACATAGCTAACTATAAAAACTAGTTGGTCCAAATTTAACTACAAGAGAGATTCCTTGCCAACTGAAACCAGAAAAGAGAAGGAGAGAGAGAAAGATTGCAGCATAGCAAAAGGAAACTTGCAAGGAAGTAGCCACCCAAAGGCTTACACAAAAGAAACTGATCTTAATGATATTTGCATGATGATATTAGACCTTTTCTTTTACCTTTCTAGGGTTACGCTGCATTGCTTGAGTAGTCCATCACCAAAAGAAGTGATCTGCTATTTTCATCATAAATCTAGCATGAGAAAATGAAACAGTGATATAGCCAGAGACGACTTGCCGATAAACTCTTACAACATTTATTATAAATTTTATTAATGTATAGTTAAATTTGATACAGAAGCATATAGTTGATTACAGGGACCAGGGTAATATAATGTAAAATATAGCTTTTCCGGCAAGTCATCCTTGGCTGCAGCACATAGCCTCATTTCCACATGCAAGACTTTAGATGAAAAATACTGCAACTCCAATAATTGAACAGAACTTTTGAATAAAAGGATTATCTGTTCGCTCGCAAACAACCTAAACCAATCACTTAGAACCCACAATGCCATAAACTCAGAGATAAAGAGATAGGAACTTTCCCAAGGGAGAAAGGATAAAACATTCTCTATTTATTTCAACAAAGAAACTACCATTATTCGAAGAAAAGGGTCTGAAGAAACAGAGAGAGAAGAAGCGGATTGGACAAGAAAACCCTCTTGGCAGGGCATGGACGAATTGGGAGTTGCAGCAATTGAGAGGTAGTCTCTTTTGCTTATAAAGAAACTTTCAGCTTACGGTGATGGCATGGGAGATCTTAAGTAATAATGAGGCTAGCTTTTACACAAGGAAGGCAGCTCTAGAACTGACTACTAGGTGTCCTTGTCCATTAGAGAAACAGAAAAAAGTGAGTTACTCGGAGGACTCATGGTGCTTAGATGTGACTTTGCATGGGTGCTAAAACCAAGAGATATTAAGCCTAAAGATCAATCCTTATCGTCAAAGGGTCTGACTGATTAGCTTCTGTATTTTTGTTATCGACAGTCATTGAAGTGATATATTACCATGCCATTTCTTAACCTGCTTTGTAGTAATGGAGAGCCTGTCCAGAATCTGTACGATTAATTGACTGAGGAAGAGGAGTTAGGTGAGTGAATTTACTTCATTTAGCCGACTAATGACAAAACTTCAGAATCTGAACACCTTGCGGGCATCTTTGCATATATATATATATTTATTCCCATCAGGGGTCCCCTACATGTTCCGTCAGTCTAAAATTTCCTGTTGGGCAAGGGAGTAAGTACATACGTACATTTGTCTTCCTATAATTTTATTGATTTAATTATAAATTGGCAAAATCATAATGAGATGTTTCGATTAAACTAAACACTCCCATAACTTTCACTTATTCATAGTTTCTTGTTCCAAAGAGTTTATTCCTCATTTACTGTAGCAGTAGAGAAGAAAACACACTTTATTATTTTCTGTTACAAGGAGGATTGAATCAACATAATTTATTTGGGAGTCCTGGTGGTGTGATGAAGTTTTCTCTTTTTTCTGAAAGGTGAATCCGTTTTTCTGGTGTAAATAAGTCATTAGTTAAGAAAAAGACAGTTCTCGATTTGCTGGGTTGCAGCGTTTTTTCCAATGTTTTTACATATACTCTCTGAAACCTCTGGTTCCATATGGGAAAACAGAAATCAAAATTCTCAATGCTGGACTGCAGGCCTGAGTTCTGGGTCGGGCAAACTCTGGACAGAAAAAAGAAAAGAAACACTGAAAAGATTTCACAGCGATGAAATATTATAGTCTGACTTTGGCCATCGAAAAAGTACATCACTAAACTGTGGTTGAGCACAGCTATTACTAACCTTGAGTTGTCCTGCCTAACTGCTTCAGTACTCTAACAGCATGTTTGCTACAGGGAATAGCTAAGCTATTCCTTGTTTATTCCCATGTTTTTTCTTTACTACCGTTTGGTAAGCAATGTCATAATGAATAGCTATTATTTAGTATTAGCTATTCCAGTAAAATTCAAGCTTAACTAAATCTAAGCCTCTCATGATATTTGCTATTCCATAATTAAGGGAATAGATTTAAAATCTGATAAGACTAAAATACCTCTTCTAACTTAGAAATATTACACATTAATATTTCTTTTTCTTCTCATTTTCTCTTCTTTTTTTTTCTCTTCTCACGTTCTTGCCTCTCTCATTCTCTCCCTAACTTGCACGCATCACCAGAAGACGATGGCAACAACGACAACGATGGTTTCACAATTGAATATGATCGGAAAGCATCGATCTAGTATTTTTCGATAAGATTCAATCGAAAAGTCATCGGATCTGAGATCCACAGCCAAATCTGGTCGCAAGAAGCATCAAATCTGGTGCTTCTCGACCAAATCTCAACGGTCGAATCTGGCACTCCACTGCCAAATCCAACTGCGGGAAGCATCGATTTGGCACCCAGTAGCCAGATTCGTGCACATGGTGCACCAGATTGACGCTTCATTACACCAGTCACATTTCCGGTAGTCGACCCATAGAGAGGAAGAGAGGAAAAAGGAAATAAAAATAGAATAAAAAGAAAAAAATATTTATAAATTTTAAAAATTAATATTTTATATATAATTTAAACATTATTAATAGTAATATGATTAAAATATTAATATTTTAATATTTTTAATGTTTTATTTATTAAATTATCAATATATTAAATTTTTAATGAGTATAAATAAAAAATAAAAAATGCAAATAAAGAAAAAAATTACACTAATATTTTCATAATAAATTATTAAATTTTAAATTTTTAAAATTTTAATAAAAAAATTAAATAATTAAAAAAATTTACTTATATTTGTCATTAGGTATAAATTTTACTAAATTATGTAAAGAGTATTTTGTTGTTTTAAAAAATAAATATTATTATAATAAAATGTTTTAGTTTTTAATTATATATTATAAAAATTGTTATTTTAAATTTGGAAATTAATTAAAATTATTAATATTTTAATCTTAATAATATTAAATTATAAATAAAATATTAATAATTAAATTAATTAATAATATTTAAATTATTATTTATTAATATTTAATTGAATTATAAAATATTAATATTTCAAAAATCTAATAAATATAAATAATCATATAAGTAAGAAAGATATTTTTACTATTTTATTTTTTATTTTTTTTATTTTAAATTTATTATTACCAACCAAACATTATAATAAATCATAATAATTATTCTTATCTTATTTCATTTATCGTATCAAATTCAGTAATAAATTATTTTATTCCATTATTACCTATTCCAACTACCAACCTACCCACCTTCGGCTGAGCTCATCTTATGTACCAGTTTTTCATTTTTGTTCAATCACTCTATGACTGTAAAAAAGTTGGAATGGCCAACTCACAAACCTGTTTATTTCGGTTTCAGTAGGGCCATGTCCTGCTGCATCAGTTGTTTTTGCCATGATTTTTTCGATTAACGGGCTTGGTTGTACGCACAACCCCCAAAAACCATGTGCTCTATAAATAACTGATCCATGCACTTTCCTTCAACTTGACCCATGCAAGGAGCAAGGACTTCAAAGTTTTATTACATCAAAAGTACAAAGAGTACCTTCCCAAAAGACAATCGACCATAGAAAAAGTGATAGCCAGCTTAGTTCATTAAATTGTTTTTCCTCCCAAAGACTTATACCAGTTGTGCAAAATCCAACCTGAGTTCATCCATTCCTACCTCTTTTACCATCGCAAAGACGTGGAGAAAAGTTTTGTCTAATTTTCTAACAGGCCAATCACGCTGTAGATAAGTTTCTATTGTAACAGCAGTAAAATTTCACATTCAACAACTTCATCAAATTGTTTTATACAAGCATATTAAAACACAGTGCATGCTACTGCCACAACAATGATTGTACACATAAGATGCCCGAATTCTTCAAGTCTCCAGAGTAGCACGTATGTGCCCAGAAAAAACCTACATCAGTTTTAACAACAAAGATAATCAGAACCTGCCAACAAATCAATTGCTCATAAGACATTCCAAGCAGTCCACCAGATTGACAAATAATACAGACATATTATTAAGAGATTAAGCAATCACTTACTAGCGTGTTTCAAACACCTTGATAAGCTCCTTCATTCTCTCAAGTTACAGGCAACCATCAAAACAATAAGCTCTTACCTTTCATGTGAGGTCTTTGTGCAGGATAAAACCCAAAAACTGAAGCCGACGACACCAACACAGTCCTTTCCCATGCTTATAACGTCCTTTAATTAAGAAATCCATTGGCAGCATTATACATTATACTATAAACTAGCAATTTTCCTAAAAATTGCAACATATATTCATCAGCGAAAACCACCGTTGGGGAGTCAAACCCTAACCGTAGATGCCATGTTACATCCATTCTCTGCATCATTAAGTTAGTGTGTGACACCGCCAGTTCTACATTATACCGTAATGCATATTACATGATTAAAGGAAATGCTATTTCTAAGTGTCCATTTCTCTCAGGTAATCAGTTTAAGCTGAGGAAAACAACTAAAATAACTTTTTATGTTCTGAGTAAACACGTTCTCAAGAAGCTAGCCCTCAATAAATTTATGTATATATCAATGGACTTCTTGATTAAGGAACATTAGAAAGACTCAAAAGACCATTGAGCTGCTTTAGATGTTAATAATAAATATGCCTGCATTCCAGATTATATGTCTTCTGCACTACTTTTCAGGGTAATTGGCCAAGTTGAGGATAAGATCCCAATCATAAATTGAGACAACCAGAGGATTAAGAGAGCACAGAAGACAAATGTTAGATAAACAAACCCCACACTCTTAGTACAACCGCCAAAGGATGGAAGAAGCTACATGGTTTTGAACCTCTGAACAAATGCAAACTGGAAAGCAGAAAAGACAACAAAGAAAAGGAAATAAAAAGGCAGCAACAGGCATGCCAGCTAGCTAGGTTCTTGGGAGCACATATTATAGAGTTTGGTATTTTTGGTGTCATGGACATGGCAAATTTCAAAGTAAATAATAAGATCTCCACATAAATTTGGTCCCTCTAGGTAGTAGCATCAGGGTGGGCCATGAGTTTGTCAAACCCTGGTTCATCTGGTCTTCCGGTTTAGGCAGGCTTCATCAAAGTAGGCAGTAGGCTGGCTTCAGGCTTCATAAATCTCAGCTGTTTTAATGGGAATGGAAAGGCAACAAAGGGAAAACAAGAGCATCAGAATCCTATATAGGGAGATTGGTAGGCTATGTTAGCAAACTGCCATACACTAGTGTGTTCTGCCCCAAATCAGAGCATTGTCAGTTATAAGAATAGACAAAAGAATACCGAAAGGAAAACTATAGTCTATCTGCACATACCAATCACCAAATTTTAGTACCCATAGTTTTTGCGCCGGGAAACAGGGGTATGGCTGGATAACCTGGTAAGAGAAGTTAATGATGAATATCAAAGAATCCTACAAGATTAGGCATATACTAAACCTAATCAATCACACACATGCTTAGGAAGGAATAAAATGTAGTCTAGCTTACCCTTGAAAAAACTTCAAGCCAATGTCATGGAGTTCAAATATTTAAACATAATAATAGTGCAATCACTCCCTCAGCCTAAAGCATTTCACCTTTAATTGATGATAATGATGACAACAATGACAACAATAAAAATGTTCTTTCAAAGGAAATAAATAATTCTCACCCAGAAGGGCCACCACGTCCTGAAGAATAACCTCCATAAGCTCCATAAGCACTGCTACTACCACCAACCTACAAAAAATATGAGGAATCATCATTGTTCACTACCAGAGAGAGAGAGAGACAGACAGACAGACAGATACAGAGACAGACACAGTGGTTACAAGAGAACTAACTAAAATAAGAAATGGATACAGAAGGGAACAAAAGGGCTCTAA